CAATTAAAGAGACGGAAGCCAATTCTTGTGTATTAGCATTTTATGATGTCTAAGATGCATTGTTTGTACAAAAAGCCAGTTACAGAGCTATACCCCAATACCTCTATATTAAGCATCTCTATGTGTGTTTGCATAGAAAACTATCTGAAAGAACACAGCAAAGGACACTTTCACATTTGTAGAAGTGATGGTGAATGAATACTTCAAAAAATGTAGCAAAAATTTAAATGTAGGGAGAAAAAAATGATTATTTATATTACACAATTCAAAGACAGCTCTTGTTACCATTCTGCGTGCATTCTTCTAGAGTTCTCATATACATACATACCCAGACTTCTCTTTTTTATGCAAATGGCTCATGCTGTACATGCTGTCTATGTAAGTTGCTTTTTTTTTGGTTTAACCATATATTTTGGATTTTTTCAATGACATTAATTGCTTATTTTATTCACTTATTTAACAAACATTTATAGCGTTTACTACATTCTCAGCACTTTTCCAAATTATATATATATATATATATATATATATACACGCGCACGCACACACACACACACACACACACACATATATATATCTGAATTATTTTAACGTTCTTTGTAAGGAAGTATTTTTATCACAGTAGGGGCATCCTCTTTTGTATATGTAACATCAGCACTTCTCATTCCGACAGGTAGTTTGAAAGATGAAGGGGCAGCAGGGGAAGAATGGCCAGCCCTGTGATTAAACGGAGATATTTTTCAAAGATCTTTCTACGCAGAGGCTGAGGGTCTTATAAAAAATACCCGCAAAACCCTCTTTCAGCCTGCACTGAGCCAGGAGCAGAGAAACAAGTCAATGCCTTTGTTTTACAAAACTTGATTTAAATATACAGCGCATTCTTGACACGCGTCCAAGCAGAATTGTTAGTCGAGGATTTATTGTCTCTTCGAGTTACGGCACAAGCAGTACTATCTACTCAAGTTCTCTTTGATCGGACCCCCTGTGCAAGAAGCAAGGTCATCTGCTTGGATCTCCCTTGTCAGGCCCTAATACCCAATTACCTCTGAGATTTACAGTATTTCCATCGCTGTTAGAATAAGGGCCAAAGGCCTAGAAATAAAGATAGTGGTGGAATCCATAACAAATGTTTTTTCAACAACAAAAGCTTAAATTTCACATGTCTCCTGAGTTTCCTGTACCTCATGATTAGATTTCAGGTATTTAAAAACAGTTTACTTGATGAAGTATAACTTGGAAAGTATGCTGTGTTGTTTCTCTTGGAATTGATTCTGAATAGTTTTTTAAAATTAAATTTATTGGCGTGCCTTCGCTTAGTAAGATCATATAGGGTTCAACTGTATATTTCTCTGATACATCATCTGTATATTGCATTGTGTGCCCACCACCCCAAGTCAAATGTTCTTCCTGATATCACCGTATGTGACCCCCTTTTACCCTTTACTACTCCCTCCGCCCCTCCTGCCCTCTGCTAACCGCCATAGTGTTGTCTACGAGTTTTTGTTTAGACCTTGAGAAGATCACGGCAAGTGAAATAAATCAGACAGAAAAAGTCAACTACCATATGATTTCACTCATGGGTGGGATATAAAACTTAATCTGAATATTTAGATTTGTCTCTTTTTAATAGAATCATAAGTGAATAATCATAATGAAATCACTTTTCCACTTGTATATTAAAATATCTAAAACTACTAGCACCTGGAATGAGAGAGACGGACTGAGGTCTGATTCGTGAGGTCAAACTAGAAAACGTGTGTTTGCGTTCGCGGAAGACTTTGCAGCACATGCGCAGTTGCAGTCACGCCAAGGCGAGCAGTGACCGGGTCATTAGAAAACGTCGGTCCCGATGGAGGCTCTGTTGTTAATTATGCAACAGGAATGCGGAGTGTCGGCCACTTTGCTGGGGGTAACTCATGGCCTTTCTCAGTCGTGCTGACAAAAATTCTGTACAGTAGCTACAATTGTTATTCCCACTCCATAAACAGGGAATGCGGAACTAGAGAGGCTAAGTCACTTGTCAAGGGTAACAGTGAACAAGTGGAGGAACCATGATTCAAATCCGGGTCCCTCAGACGCCAAATCTCATAACGGCATTTTGGTCAAGAAGGGACCACGAATACGACAGAGGTCCCATGAGTTTGTAACGGAGGTGAGAAATGCCTAGAGCCGAGGGACTCCATAGCCCTGCATTGGTCACGTGTTTGTGGTCATGTGGTGTAAACGAACCAATGCGCTGCCCGTCATAGAAAACCATACTACAGACAATTATGTACAGCGCATAGTACTCGATAACAACAATAAACGACTATTTACAGATTTCTGTGTTTGATTGCATTATTTTTTTCTGGTCTGATTTAATCTCACGTGGTTTTATAAATTTAGCGTAGCCTATGTGTCCCGTGTCTGTAACATCGATGGTCGTGCACCATGTTGTACAGTAACGACCTAGGCCTTCACATGCACTTACCGCTCACTCCTGACTCGCCAAGAACAACTTCCAGCTCTGCGGGTGCCATTCGTGGTGAGCGCCCTCTACAGCAGCACAATTTTTAAATCTTTTCGACCACATGTTTACTGCAGGGTTTCTATGTTTACATACACAAATACCACTGTGTTAGTATAATGGCCTGCAGTATTCAGTACACTCAAATGCTATACATATTTGTTCCACTGTATATAGCCAGCTTTCGTCTCATGTCCTGGACCTTTTCCATTTGAGGTAGGCTTACCCCGCCAGTCTTCCCAGATTTTACTGAAAAACCCAATTTTTGCTTATTTATAAGGCTCCAATCATGTTGTGAATGCCACGGTTTTGCAACTTACTCGTAGATACGGAAGAAAAGGGGTGGGGAAATCTACCCACGATATAATCTCTTGGACAAGATTGTGGGGAAACTGGACTGCTGATAGCCTACCATTCTCTCTCTGCCTAGATGTTAATGCTGTGTGCAGCAGTAAGTATGTACCACCTGGAAACTCCTAGGAACTCCTTAAAAGAAGCCTCAATTGTTCAGTAAAGCAGCAAATCGCCCTTCAAAATGTCGTGTTTTAAAGATCTAGATCTTATAGAGCGTTCTCTTAAAACAAGATGTGCCTGAAAATGGATTAGCATCTCAAATACAGCAGTCAAAAATTATTTTCAGCCCTGGCTGGTGTGGCTCAGTGGATTGAGTGCTGGTCTGTGAACCAAAGGGTCACCGGTTCAATTCCCAGTCAGGGCACAGGCCTGGGTTGTGGGCCAGGTCCCCAGCAGGGGGTGCGCGAGAGGCAACTGCACATGGATGTTCCTCTCCCTGTCTTTCTCCCTCCCTTCCCCTCTGAAATAAATTTAAAAATATTTTTAAAAATTATTTTCCAAGTATCTAAAAGATAAACATTCAAGATTGTTTATCTGTGTCCAAAATTTTCAAGTCCTGATTTAGAAAATAGCACGTCCTGTAGGCAACTTTTTCCAGTCATAATAAAGATTAACGGAGAGCAGTTTGAAGTTCTGCACAAATCTTTCTGTCGCCATTGCATCAGCTCAACCAAAGGAAACCACTTCCTGGTCCATTGCCCATTTCTGACTTCAAAATTCTAAGCTCCTTATGGTATACCTTAAGCTATGCACACTTACCTACCTGTGGAACTATTTAAAATATTTAAATATTATGCTAATAGTTCCCATGCAAAACAAAGCTACATTTTCTTGATTGCTAGGAGTCGGCATTATTACGCAGATCTAAAATATTCGATATTTCCAGAAGGTTTAGGGTAGTACTACACATTAAAAGGTGATTTACATTAAATTGTGGGCAAAATAATCTCACGGTTTTAAAAATAAGTGAAACACTTTTTATAAGATGACAAAGGGTAACAGTATCGAATATATATTAGAAATGGGAAGAGAAAATTAAGAGTATTTCATCTTTTCAAACTCTTCAAACAAATCCTCTGGTGAACTGTCGGAGACGTGCCCCCCACCCCCCGCATGTGAGAATTCTAAATAGAACATTTCACTCATGCTTCTAGTTCAGCAAAACAATCCTCTAGGATTCAAGTTCTAATGATTACCTGTCATATGGTCCTAAGAGTCATCATCACCAGAAAGAGTGGATGTGGCAACTTATACTGGAAGGGCGACTCACTGCAGCCCTAAGCGAGGCTGTATAAATGGGAAGAGAAGAAGCTTTCAAAAGGAGACCCGGGGTGCTAAGTGTTAAACCATCTTACTGGCATTTTTAAAAAGTCTCCCTTAAAGAGGAGAATCCCAACATTATCAAAGCATTTCTTTAAAAAAAAAAAAAAGGTAAAAAAAAGTGTGAATACTCTATGACCTCCGAAGTGCCTGAAGGATAATACAGCTACTTGTTTGAAAATTCAATTCACCTGATCTTTCTTAATCATCTCGCAGATAAATTGCCAGTTTTGAAAGTGTCCTGTTATCTTTGAATGTGTCCTGTCCGAGCCACTTTAGAAGCTACTTGGAACTGACGGAAGGTGTCACTCTGCTTTCTTTAACTCTTGGATTCGAAAACAAATCAGAGTTCAGTGAATGATTCTGCGTGAAAAGAAAGTCATCAGTCTCTTCTCCGTTGGGTACGCTGTTGGGGACGCAACCACAGTGGGGTTCTTATTCACCAAGTGAGTATGAGAAACATCTCAGAGTCCTGGACACCAAGTGACACGTAAAAACAGTCTGTAGGCAATCAGTGTACCGTAAAGTCCTAGCCCTGATCCTAAACCGAAAGAGGTTTGATACTGGCATCTAGAACAGTTCACAAGTAAAGGGCACCCACACATCATTTGATTACCTTTCTCACGAACCCTGCAACACTTGACAAATGCCCAGAAACCAAACAGAGTGAACAGCTGGACAATGAAATGTTTAAATAATAACCTGACGTCAACAAATAAATCATTCCCAAGACAATCTCCAGTTTCTCGGCATGTATACAAATCTCGAACATTAAAAAAATAGGATACCACGCCTGAAAGGCATTGAAAACACTTGTCTTTATTTCCTTTAAAAACTTACTGTTACAGTATGCAAGTTATGAATAATCATATGTTCATGCTTTTTGAAATGGATATAAGATAACCGAGAGCAGAGAGATGAATGATTGACTACCAATAGCAGTAAATAACTTGTTTGTAAGAGAATCGTTTCATTCCTGCTTTAAAGAATCACTACTCTTTAGCAATTCAATTTCAACAAAATACTGAGGTCTTTGGGTCTTCAGACGAAGGCTGCCTTCGAAGGAACTATTGCTGTGATAGAAGTTAACCATTACCGCAGCCGTTACTTGAGACCATTCTAAGGTTAATCATTAATGTGGAGATTTTACTATAGGAACTAAATATCACAGGAGATCGGGAAAAAAACCACTCAGTATTCCTATAGAAAAATATATAAGTTTATTATAGATATATATTTGTTTTTCTGGCAGGCATACCAACTAGACAAAAATACAGTAGCAACAGGGTAACTTTTCATATTGATCACTAAACTGAATGGCATCATCAAGTTTGATTAATGAGAAGCATGCATAACTAAACACTTTAAACACATGAATCAAAATTCTTTGATAATAGCACTTTTTAAAGCTTTACATTAGTTACTGAAATTTCTGCATCATGTACAACACATTAATTTTATTCATAGGACTTCAGGCTTATGGTTTTACCACAGAACTAAAAGGGTTTTCTTTTTTTGACTTAAAAAAAATGAACAAATATTTATTCGCAGTAATTAAGATCACTGAAAAGAAAGCTCTTAAAATAACGTTTACATTTTGAGGCAACAGGAAATACCTAACTTTCTCTAACACAATGTTTTGAACAGTTGTGTATTATCTTAATCATCACTAATCATATTTACGGGGTTTTAAACATTTCCACAGGCTCGAATAACCTGGAAGAGAGATTCTGATGCTGGGTAATGGATGAAACCACAGACTATCCTTGGCCTCCTGTGATTGGCTGTTTAGATACATAAATGTGCATGCTCTATTCCAGAGGCCTGAACTCTAAGACTAGGACAAAGTACAACATCTTAATTAGTGCAATTGTATTCCGACTCCTTACTGTCATACAGGGGAACCTTATAATATATTGCTGGTAGAGAGGAGCAGGGGTCTGGGGTATGTATTGTAGGTATGGATTGGGCACGTAGCGCATGCTGTGCTTGGGATTCAGGAAACATGATTTGACATTAGGAAGATCTGAATCCATAGAACAAAGTCGATTATCATGTGATTCCACTGTCCCTGATTTGTATAGTATTGCAGAAAAGGAAGAGAGAGGGAGAAGGAAGTAGACACAGGGGAGGGGCAGAGCGATTGGGAGTAGCCTGAGGGGCTGGAAAGGTCCTCGCACCGGGATCCACCTCTAGTGGAAGGAGGTTGGATGCCAGGCGAGAGATACAGTCCTTGGCTTTCATTGCGCGTGTGCTGGGACCTGACCAGCTAACTTTCCTTAACACGTTCCTGGAAATCTGGAGAGGCCAGAGCTCCTGCAGCTGAAGTCTGCAAGACCTCTGCGCTTTGTGCTGCAGTCACGGCTCCCTGCTCAGCACTACCGGGTGGGTTGCACACCAAGAAACTTCCTATGTTTTCCTATATTGAGATAAATTGTTCAATCCACACTGTAGCTCAAAAAAGTAAACCATCAGAGATTGGCATTTGGACAAAAAATTTTAATAGAGTCACCGTCACTAGATTTGCTGCCTGGGTAGAGCCCTCACATTTTATATCAAGGGAGTTCTAGAATTTACCAATTGTTATATTCTATTCAGAGTCCTGGGTGCTTTCAGGTTTATCTATCTGAAGAGATATATAAAAAAAATGATCCTTATGAAGTGTTTTCCTTATTAAGATTCAAAAGCAGAATTTGACATGTTACTATATTTACTGGTCTATACGACTATAAAAGTCCTAGTGCAATAAAAACACCGTGATCCACAGTGTCGCGGAAGTTGACGACAAACAACTATTTGTTGTCAATAATTGCTTGCAGCCTCAGATTTTTGAGAGTCACCTTCAAGTCGATGGGAAAATGAAGAGATGACTTTTTCCCCAGAAAAACCATTCTAAAGATGGCACTGCATTAATCTTTAAAATCGTTCTTAGAAAATAGGCAGGGTATTACTATTTCCACCTTCCATATGGAGACACCAAGGCCCAGAAATTAAACAGTAGTTGTCTAATATCATCAGTAGCGTGGCTCGCACTAAATTAGGTCCATAGACAATTAGGACAGTTACGTCCAGTGCTTCCAAAGTCCAATGAGCTTATCCACATCTTTCCTTCCATTTTTTTCAGTGCTGAGCTTTCCTACTGTGTAAATGATTCAAATATAAAAATCAGTACTAACATTAAAAAACTCTTAAGCAATGGATTCATGATTTGTTAAAAACATCTACTTTTGTATTAGCTTTTCAATACTTCTCAAGAAAACAAAACCTCTATTCCAAATACAGGTTCCCGTTGGGTCACAATACCGTATTTTGCCGTGCATAATGCGCACCCACATTTTTGGCCCAAAGTTTCAGGAAAAAAATCTTTTAATTTTTAATCCAGTTTTTATTTATTTTTATTTAAGTACTTGTTTTTCATATTATAAAGGAAGTTTAGCATCTCTTTTTGAGCATAGTATGGTACAAGAAATTTTATGTAACAAATAATTACAAAACACAAGAACAGCTACAAGGGATTTCAGGTACTACCCATGTCTGATGCGCATCCTTATTTTTCCTTCAAAAATTTGGGCCAAAAAAAAAAGTGCATTATACATGGCGAAATACGGTACTTCCTTTTTCTTAATAACATTGACATAGGCTTTTATCTTCTCTGTCAGGATGCTCACACCCTGAAAGAAAGTATAATTCAAATAATGAGAGGAAATAAGTGAGCTGATGCTGAACACATATGTGGCTTTCAAACAAAGATCCAAATCCAAAGTGGCAAAGCAAAAGCACGGAATTATTAACAATGCATAGGATCACTTTCATCTCCAAAGCTATGTTCCTGGCAAACAATCCATTTGTCATTCTTATCTGGTAACTCCACAGGTTTGGTACCTTAAAAGCAGGTGAGTCGATGTGCTTTACAAGTATTGTGTGTTCTTGAAATGTCCTCTTTAAGGAAAACTCCCTTCTGGATTTTTAGGCCTGTGTCTCTGGGGAGTTCTGCGCGACAAGCGAGCGCTGCTTTAGAAGATTTTTCAAACCGTTGGTAGATCGAGAAGACTCTGCGATACCCAGGTTTGCTGTGTATCTGTTACTCAGAGAGCTCCTCCGGCTTTCCGAGGTCTGCGCTTTCCTTGGGAGCCTCTGGTACGACGCCAGGTTCCGAAGCCCCCGATTGTAAACTGTCTCCGTCCAGAATGATGTCTTCAGGATTTGGGGGGGGCGGGCAGAACTCTTCATTGGAGCACATTTGCTGAAAGAGCGCCTGAGCCTGACCAGGGAGGAAAGGACACAAGGGTTTTTGGACATGAGCTTAAGATGTACGTGCCCTTCTGGCATCATTAAAAAAAAAGACGCATTGCACACACTCCCTCTTTAGGCTACAGAACTTTACCCCGTATACGTGACCCTCTCAAATCTGCTTTCAGAATTCCATGACTTTTCTTCCTCCAATTCTATGTGTGCATTCAGGTCTAACCTTTTGAGAGTATCCTACCCGATCAGATTCTTTATCAAGTGTTCATATAGTTGAGAATTTAAGGACATTCATTCTACACGTTCAGTCGAAATAAAATTTCCCTTCATATTCCTTATATAATTTCTGACTACAGCCTGTTTGTGACATCCATATAGTTTAATTTAGCATATAATAATTTTAGCAAGTTGTTGTTCAGATCAAGGAAATTTTTCACTGTTTGCTCAACTGTTTCTTTTCCTGGTGCACTTTTCTTCCCAGAGGGCTTTAGGGAGTGGAGCGCAGTGTTTAGGACCAAGGGCTCTGAAGAGCTAGCTGGGCATGAACGCTGGCTCCGCCTCAGAGCAGCGCTGCGATTGGGCAACGCTTACTCAACTTCTGAGCCTTGCACTCTGTCTTTAAAACAGCTGACACGGCCCTGGCTGGTGTGGCTCAGTGGACTGAGCGCCAGCCTACGGACCAAAGGGTTGCCAGTTCGACTCCCAGTCAGGGTGTATGCCTGGGTCGTGGGCCAGGTCCCCAGCTGGGGGCGCACGAGAGGCAACTGATCAATGTATCTCTCGCACATCGATGTTTTTTCTCCCTCTCTTTCTTCCTCTTCCTCTCTCTAGAAATAAATAAAATCTTCAAAAAAAAAAAAAAAAACCCAGCAGAGACTAAGCCTCTATATATGGTAGCTGATATCATTGTTATTAATAAAAATATAATTTAAAATGTTAAGATTTAAGGTGAGTTTAGGCTGGCTGGTAGGAGGATGAGAGAGTAAATGCGGTCCTTAACAACAACAACAACAAATACACAAGAAAGTAAATGTGGCAAGCAGCATTGCTAGTCTCTGCTAAACGTAGTTCTACTTCTATTTAGATGAATACAGCTTATTGTTAGATAAGAGTTCCTGCCAACCAAGGGGGCCTGTGCGCCATCCTATAGATAAAAGAATGCTACTCACAGCTTGTAAGATGTAAGTTTGTTTTAGGGCTAGCATGTCTTTCTGTACTATTTCAACCCTCCTTCCCAAGGTACAGAAAAGGCTAGGAGTTGACAACCAAACCCAGCCTGCAAATATAAGTTTTATTGGAACACAGCCATTGTCTATTGCTGCTTTTGCACTTCAACGGCAGCATTTAGTAGTTGCCAGTAGAGGCCACCCCGGCTGCAAAATCTAAACTATTCACCATCCTGCCGTGTACAGTCAGTAGACACCTACATCAGCGGGTTCAAACCGATATTCTCTGCGAGTGGGCGGAGGGGTAGTAAACCGAAACTTCTGAGCTTTGATGTGCAGTTGAAAGAATGGATAGAGAGAGAAAAATAGCTGCTTTCTTGGCTACAGTTGAAGGATACATTTTTAGTTCATGCCATTTTACCGCGGATATTTTAAGATTCTACATTGGAGACACGTGCTTTGCCCTTCAGCCCGGGACCTGACCACGCATCTTTGCTGGGGACACTCAGCCCCTAGAAGCAGGAGGGCTGAGGCCACACGGAGCCCCTACGTCACACCTGAGTTCCCCTCCTGGACTTTTTGGCTTTTGTCTCTGCCTTGTCTGTCTGTGCAAGCTCTCTCTCCCCTCCACCCTCTGTGGGGAATCAATCACCAAATGCGGCAGATGTTATCTCTTCATGTGACTCTCTTCCGTTTAGATGGGGGAATCCGCTGTAAGGTTCGCGGACTCCCAGACAGATCTCCCGCCCCCCGACTGGTCACATCTGGGCTTTGGGTGTGGCTCTATTGTTGCGTATGTCACACTGTCCTGCCATTTGTGTACAGACTCTTCTCCTCTACAGAGCAGTGACTGGTCCAGGGATAACAAGGCCTGGGGCTTCGCTCAGGCCTGCAGCCTCAGTGCGTGGCATGGAGCAGAATCTCAGTATATATTTTGAACGAAGGGAAGACCTTTAAAAACTGTATACTGCACAAATGTTCAATATAAATATAATAATTATTACTACTACTACTTTGACTTTTACTCCAATGCCTCTGTGTTTCATACCTCGTCTCCCTTTTGCCACCTCCCTATGGACATCAATTCTGCTCCGAACCCCGGTCCTCATGGCTGGGTCCCGCTAGATCTGCTTCCTGAGGCTGCCCAGCAATTGCAGGCGGTCACACCATCCTTATTTGTGTCTACCTGCCTGTGGAATGGCCGCTTTCTACTGATGCCGATACCCCGCAGGCAGACAGCGGCCTCTCCTAAGTCTCTGCTCCAACGGCTGGAACCTCTTCTGGCCAGCTGCCGTGTTCTGGAAAGTCTGTCTAATGCTACTTCATTTGCAGCGTTGCATTTGCCCACCAAGTCCCGGTGACTTCAGAGTAGCGAAATATCAGCTTTCACTCCCCCATGCCCGTTATAGGACGGAAGTTAGCTGAAAGTGTTAGGGCTTTCATGGGGTTAAAAAAAGGGGGGGGGTGAATTATATTGTGATTTGGCTTCCTTATCTTGGAAAGCACAGAGGACGACCTAAGCTATTGAAGATGCCTGTGTTCATGTAACATTGATATACATGAAACAAAAAGAAATATTTTGTCAGCCTAGCAGTTTAATGCATTTAGGATATACCCACGTTAACAAGAAAGACAAAGGTAGCACAGTGCACTGGAGGAGCGTACAGGCACGAGGGTAGAACACACTTGAGGTTAAAATCATGGCTCAAAAATATGAGCGATGTGAACTTTGGGCGAGTTACTTAGCCCCTCTGGGCCTGGGTTTCCTCATCTGTAAAATGGGAACGGTGGTTACTTACCTCATAGAGTTGTTGTGAGGACCGAAGAAGATACTTTATGTGAGATGCTTAGGATAATGTCTGGCACATAGAAAATGCTCAAGGAATGGTTGCCGCAGAAAATATGACCCCTAAAATCGTCCTCTCCCTCTGGTTCTTTTTTTTTTTTTTTTAAAGATTTTATTTATTTATTTTTAGAGAGACGGGAAGGGAGGGAGAGAAACATCCATGTGTGGCTGCCTCTTGTGCGCCCCCTGCTGGGGGCCTGGCCCACAACCCAGGCCTGTGTCCTGACTGGGAATCGAACTGGCAACCCCTTGGTTCGCAGGCTGGGGCTCCATCCACTGAGCCACACCAGCCAGGGCGCCCGCTCCCTCAACGGTGTGAGAAAGTGAACGCTACTGCAATATGTGAGCAGCTTCATAGTTCACAGGACCTACAAAGCTGACCTTGAACGTACAAATTACGTGCCAAAAGTTCTGAGTCGCTCATCTATACCCATGAAAACAATTTTCTAAATGGTGCTTAGGTTGCCAGTGCAGCCCGCATCAGCCAATTTAACTCACTGTATAGGTGAAGTGTGATACACATAGTACGGCACCTTTTAACTATTCTTGTTCCCACGGCAGTGACAACTACCAGAGGGAGTGGGCTCACGAGGAGGGCTGAGCCCCAGGGCCCCGCCAGCAGGCTGCCAGCGACCAGTCTGTCCATCAGCGTGTGCCGGCAAAGGAGCCACCGGCTGTACTAAGGAAAGAGAGATCACGTGTCTAGCTCAGGGAAAAAAAAAAAAAACCGAAGTGCTGTATTTTGCTGTGTGTAATGCGTACCCACGTGTTTGGCCCAAACTTTCGGGAAAAAGAAAATCTTCCGTTTTAATTTTTTAATTCAATTTTTATTTATTGATATTTAGAAACAAAACCAATGATCGTATTCCAGGAGACCGTCATTGCTTTCTAGGGTTACACTTTTAATGTATAAGCATAAACAAAAGAACGAAACAACATTTATATACATACAGATTTAGTACTACCCATGTATAATCCACATCCTTATTTTTCCGTCAAAAATTTGGGCCAAAAAATGCACATTATACACAACAAAATACGGTAATATCAACTGGAAAAAGTTGTGGAAAGCACTACTGATAATAGTCAATTTCCTAGTGCGCGCCTGCACGGAGCTTTAATTTGTGACTATTAGGCAGGAATCATCTTATACTTTTAGTACGCCTTCTGATCACAAATCGTTCCATAGGAGCACAAGGAAGGTAGGCCTATGCTTTTCAACGTGTATACGTTTGAAAATAAGAAAAGCAGACACAAACCTGCTAACTGATGAAAGGAAGCATTTGATTTATAAAAAGGAAATCTAACTGATAAAAGGAAGCATTTGATTTATAAAAAGGAAATTTCCTTATAAAAAGGAAAAGTGCTTATGTTTTCTGCATAGGAAAGTCCTAAAAGATGTTCTTACAGCTTTGGAACACAAGAATAATCAATTAGCGAATGGGGTGAACACAGGATGAGAAACTGAAATTAAAACACTAAATAAACTGGCTATCTAAAATATTATTACTGATGCCCTTTAGAGTAGGTATGACAGACCTGGATGGTGTGGCTCAGTGGATTGAGCGCTGGCCTGTGAACCAAAGGGTTGCCAGTTCGATTCCCAGTCAGGGCACTCGCCTGGGTGGCGGGCCAGGTCCCCCGCAGGGGGCGTGCGATAGGCAGACACACAGGGATGTTTCTCTCCCCGCTTTCTCCCTCTCTTTCCTTCTCTAAAAATAAATAAATCTTTTTAAAAAAAGTATGACAATATTTTCTCCCCAACTGATGTGAAGTTAAAAGCTATGTAACAAATTTAAAACTACTTAGATTTAAATAGCATGTAATGATTAGTACCCAAACTAGCAATATTACTGTTTTCTACTGTGATAAGACTATACTCCCAAAAACTATCTTCTTGGGAAACCAATTACATCATAATAAAATTATCCTTTAATTACAATCGCCTGGCTTGCAGTTGGAGCACATTAGCAATTGTGTAATAAGCCCTTATTAAAAACGCCTTTCCCTTTGGTTAGAAAACGTTCAAGTTCATTCAGGAATAACAATGACCTAAGCCATAAATGGAGCTCTTGAACCATCTTGGGTTCCTATTAAAGCGACAGAATGAAGGACGGATGAGAGCTGCGACTTCCGGCTTTTGCTCTCACTGGCACAATGTGATTATCCAGGACTATTATGCGCATTAGACTCTGAAGACGAGAGGAGACGACTCTGGCAGCTAACTGTATAAATGAATGGGTTGTGGCCTTGTCGTTATGGCTAGAAACGAGAGGTTCAAGGAAGCCATGTGCTCGTGTAAGATCCCTGTCACCAGAATAATGGTAAAGTAGTCACTTCCTGACTCAATTGACAGATGTGCCAACTGTCTTTGAAAAAAAGTTGAGACTTGTGTTTCCACAAATGGTATTTTCTGCTCTTCACCTTCTGGCAAGTGCAGAGGAGTGTATTGGTATAAGTACACGAAGCTTAATGGAATCAGAGGTCGCTTTTGGCAGTTTGCGTCAGCCTGCCCTGGACCTCGCCACGTGAACGAGGGAAAAAAGTTTGTGTCTTTCAAAACAATACGTTGACAGACCAACAGTTTAAATGAGAAACGCTGTTTCTTTAGAATACTGGCATTATAAATTCATTTTTCTGAAGGTGCCTTTCTAACATTTTCTATTCTTATTCCCACAGTGGAACTCAGGAATGATCTCTTGCAGTTCAAGCAGGTGAAAATATCTGATACTATATTTAAAGTCTATGTAAAGTAGCTTTGTTGTTCATAGAAAAAAGTGTGAAGGGCAAACTGCAGAGATGGTATTACAGGAGATGCTCTTCTAGTCTCTTTTCCCACCTCCCAGAGGGGGAGAAAAAAACATTTCACTTTCCCTACCACACCAACTTCTTAACACAAGACCAAAAAACACCCGCAGCCTTACCTGTTGGACTGCATTATCATTTCCTAAACCACAGTCCGGGCCGGAGCAGACGTGAACGTTGGATGGTAAATCACTGTAAGCGTTCCTGCTGACGTCTGAAGAATCTCTCATATTGAAGTAAAGAGCCCATAGAAGTCTTGGTTTTTCAACTTCATTTTCTAAATGTAAACATAAATCTGACTTACTTCTAAAGCACAATATGCTTGTCAATTACCGCAATATGTAGTCAATTACTGACAAAGCCAGGACTATATATTGTAGGGAATCAGAGCTGTGTACGTAAACAATACTAAATCTGCATCCACGTACTCTAATTGATACATGTGCATGAAATTTCATGCAATGGCTTTTCAACCTAAGACAAGTTAGATTTTTGAAATTAATTTGATTATCAGTAAATTACTTAGATTTAACTCCAACTGTGTTCCTTGGATCTCTATTACTTTTCCTCACCAGTATCAAAGTGTTTATGATTACAGTCATCTTTAAGTTATACCTCTGAAGAAGATAACATAAATTGGTTTTCTTATGCTTCACACGGACAGACCAACTTTAAAAATCATAGAGTAAGTGGACAGTAGAACAGGACTACGAGACTTGTCCAGAATGGACAAATCTACAGAGACAGAAAGTAGCGCAGTGCATTCCGAGGGCTGGGAGGCATGCTGGTGGCTGCCTGATAGCGGGCAGCGGCTTCTTTCTGGGACGATGGAAATACAGGAAGGTTGACTGTGGTGATGTTTCAACAATTCCGTGAATGTACGCAAAAACACAGAATTTTGCACTTTAAATGAGTGAGTTCTCTCTCAATAAAGCTGTCATTAAAAATTGCACATACAGGATTAAAACTCTAATGTTCTAACTCACTAACTCTGTCTCCTACTGGATTCCAACATGAATGAGAACCAACAAATGAATAACAGAAATAAGGCTGGAAACTGCAACTTGTTCTAGTGCGCAGTCTCTCCTTTAACAGCAAGCGCTGATGTGTGTTAGAGCCTGGGCTAGAACCTGTGGGTACACAGAGGATATGCACTTGGTCCTTACTCTGCTTTTCTATGTTCGCTCATACAGGGCCTGGCACACAACAGATGCTCAATGAATAATTTCTGAATTGATATTAATCCCGTTTTCAGGCATAATCAAAATATGATGTGCTTATTACACGGCCCAACCTTATTTACCTCAATGCCTAAAGCTTATTCCTCACTACCTTAATAAGTAATTTTCTGTCTCTTTCCTTATAAATTTTATAACTAAGTGTTTTTTTGGTTGAAAACAAAAATACTGCTTTTAAAATATCTAGTGACTATATCATTTTCTTTAGTCTGAATCTGAACAAAAAATTCAAATTCTATAGAATGATAATAACGGATGTGCATGAAGATTACCCAAGACCATGAGGAACCTTAAGAATCATAAAGAAAATTCTGCAAGTATAATTATCTAGGTGATTAACTCTTATTGTTAAATTGGTAGTCAATGTAGAGAAATTCTCAGCTAATTATGATATTCCATTAATAAGAATGCCCAGTTCAGGATGAATAGGGTTCTATGGTATTTAATTGAAAATATCCCTACTATGAGAATACCAAACATGCTATTTTTCTAGTTCATTCTCAAACACCCAGAGTTATTTATTAGTGTGATAACATGAAGAAACTCTGAATGTAAGAAGTGATCCCTTAAGATGCCCCTTTCTAATACTAAGATCTAGGAGTCTAATGCATCACTAAGTACAGCTAAGCACACAATAGGTGGCAAAACCTATTTATTAACAAAATAAAGGAACATAAGGAACTCACATTTCACGGCTCAGACCATATGGCTCTTAACATTTATTGGTGAGTTTAGTTTCATTAAATCTTACAGGAAGATCATTGAACATGCCGCCTATGAGTTCTAACACCAGGCTCCAGGAGCACTGCTGAATCGTGGGCTAAAGTCTAGGAGTCCTTTAATACTTCCCGGTGTGTTCCTGGCCATGCGCAAAAAGCTCATATTTCATGAAAATTCCAGGTCAGTGGAGGGCTTTCACTAAACACAAGTTGGGGGAAATGAATAAGCCAATAAGTTATAGGAAAGAAATTTCATATAGGTTGAAGCTTTGAAAAGAGACCATGAAGAAAATGAAAAGTTGACAGAGGCTGAAGATAAATGCTCTAAATACAAGGGAGTTATCAGGCTTTGACCTTAAAACCCTCAAAGAGATATATAATTGCTTCATCTTTCTTTGAGGTCAGCTGGAAGGCAGCGATATAGCTGGAAAAATAACATGTAGTGGTGAAGTACACAATTGTCAAAAAATGTTCAAGTTGTGGAGGGCGGCCAGGAATATAATCAATTGGTCAACAGTAGGACTGGTTTCCTGTAACAGCTCATTCTAGTCAATTAGATGGTGTGAAGAACTAAACAGTAATAGGTAATTTAGAAAAGGAGGTTGGGCAAATTAAACTGCGGTAGGTACAGAATGAGACAGGCAGATGAAAATCAACAATGGCACACCAAATAAAAGCAGTAAATGGTCCATGCATGGGTGCATGCTGTGTTTAGGGAGAGTAAACTATTTCAGTGACATAGCAGAGTAAGATGAAACCAAAAGAAGGAGACTGTTACCACCTGGAGCTAGTGTAGACACAGCAAGTACAAAAAGGAATTAAGGGATATGACTTCTCAGCCCAAGAATTACTTAACACCCTTGCCAACTACTAACATCAAAATAATATTGCTTCAATAGAGGAGTGGATAAAGAGGATGCGGTCCATATATACAATGGGATCCTACTCAGCCATAAGGAAAGATGCGATACTGCCATTTGCGACAGCATGGATGGACCTTGATGATATTACGCTAAGTGAAATAAATTAGACAGAAAAAGATAAGAACTTTATAATTTTACTCACATGCGGGATATAAAACAAACTCATAGACACAGAGGGCAGTACGGTGGTTACCAGAGGGAAGGGGAGGAGGGGTAGTAAAAGGGAAAGGAGGCCTACTATGTGGTGAGGGAAGATGATTTGACTTTGGGTCGGGGGCACACAATGCAACATACAGATCATGTGTCATAGAAATGTCCACGTGAAACCTGTGTGACCTTATTATCCAATGTCACCCCAGTAAGTTTAATGAAAAATTACACCTATAAGGGGAATTTCTGCTTGTAGGAAGTGCTGCTTTTTGGAGAGAGGAAATGGATGAGAGGTAATGAGGTAACTCCACACGCCATGCACAGTGAAAGGAAAAAGAGAGAGATGATGCAGTGAAGATACTACATGGCAGACATTTCCAGACACAGTGGTAATTAAATGATTGCTTCAGTTCACATTAAAACTACCGATTTCCTGGGTAAAATCAAAAACCACCTAGGACATGTCTAGCAGTAAGAGGAAAAACAAGGCTGCCCAGTGAGTGCTTCGAAAGGTATTTTGAAGGCGGGGATAAATGGTAATGAAAAAAATTCCATAAACGATTTTTCAAAAGATTCAATGCCCATGTGAATCATGAGCAATCGCTTCATTTTTTAACCTGCAGAATCAGGTTCGTTCGCCTAAACCACTTTGGGCCAGGAAGCAGGGAAGGGTTGGGAGATCTCTGATGTTCTTAACGCAGCTGGAGGGTAAGGCTCTTGGAAGTGCTAGGGTAACTGCTTCATAGGACAGAGTGCTTCCGGCAAGAGCTCTGCCTGATACCGCGAATGTGGAAAAGTAGGTAAGGTAATAGAGCGAAAATCTCCACGCCCCAACTGGAATTTCTCAGATACAATGGCAAAGCAGTACTGTGTTGGAGAAGAAAACGTTACCTTTTTCATTTTGAATGTAATCTTTATTGCATTTTTCCATTACCATTTAGCCTCCTTATACTGTCCTCGCCCCCAGTCCCCTGAGCAATGAACACGCTGTTGTCCACATTCACGAGTTCTTTTTCCTTTTTGCTCAATCTCTCCACCCACGGGCATTACCTTTTTTTTTGAAATCCTCACGTGAGGGTATGTTTATTGATTTGAGAGAGAGAGAGAAAGGAAGAAGAAGAGGATGGAGGGAGGAGGAGGAAGAGGAGGAGGAGGAGGAAGAAGAGGAAAGAGAAAACATCAACTGGATGCCTCCTGCACACACCCCAACTGGGGATCGAACCCACAGCCTAGGTATGTGTCCTGACTGGGAATCCAAACCCGCAGCCTTTGGGTGCACGGGATGAGGCTCCAACCTACGGAGCCACCGGGCCAGGACAAGAATATCATCTTGTACCATAAATAGACTTCCTTGTCCGGTGAACAGGCTGACTGTCACAAAGGCTTATGACACAGAACACAGATCTCAAAGAAAAAGGAAAAAAATAAGCTTCAACAGTGATTTCTTGGGCACACATGTTAAAACAAAATATTTACAATGCCCTAAAGCAGAAGGTTTCATATCATTGTCCAGTGGCCAAAACAGAACAATAAAAGCCTCTTGAATCGGTAAAAACAGGGGCTTCTGCTCCGGAGAGGAATGTGCTTTAATGTAGTAAAAGTTCATATCGCTCATAAAGTTCCTTCTTCCTCATTTAGGCGGGAAAATGAATGCAGTTCTATTCTCCAGGCGACTTTGCCTCTTTGACCTGCCATGGCCCAGTGCTCGCTTTATCTGGTGATTCATTTTCAATAACTCCAACAGTATTTGTTCTGACATTTTAATTAAAATATGACCACTACCTCATCCTGATGATAAAAAGGCCTATGTGTCAGTGAAAAGTAGCTTTTCAGTGCCTCGGTGCACCTGAAGACCCCTCTGAGCACAGTGTTCTCACTAAAGAATTTCGCTCAGGTCCTAAACAATACATCACTTCAAAATGGGATCACTTTAAACATTAAGATTGATGTTTAAAAATCTAAAATGGCTAGAGGGTGCTAAGGAATGAACATGTCACTTTCCCAACTTGATCTTTTTTTTTTAAAACGGAAATTAAATGCATTGAAAAGGTGAAGAACAATGATACCAGATTCAAATTAAGCATGTTATTTGTGACTACCACGCAATAAAAATAAACAAAAATTATTAAAAATCTCAGAAATAAACAAGGGACTCAGTGCTTTTCTAAGCAACCTAATTAAAGCCAAGGATACAATTATAATTCCAAATTACATTAAGGAATATCATCATGTACCATAACTTTGCAATCAAACGTTTAACAATAATCTAAGCATTTATATGAAACTTTCCAATGAAGAAAATGCAAATACGAAACAAATTCAATTCCAAACTAAAGTGAAGTGAATTTTTAGACTGTAGGACTTTATTCAGGCAGCTCAAAAAGAAGTTAATTGATCTACATGGCTATTAGCTCAAGAGAGCAGAGCACTGTGTTTTCTGATATAAATATAAATGACCATCTACACATTGTGTCTGCAGTAAGTAACCAAGTAAGACACACAGGAGGCGACCGAAAAGGAAATCATACGTAGGAGTAAATAAATGGCTTTCTGAACCAATGTAACATTCCAAGAAAAGGGAGATATATGAATCAATGAGGCAACCAGCCATGATTGCGGGGGACATGAAAAATCTTATAATGAAAAAAATCACCCTCACTTCATAGAAATGAAGGTCTACCGGGCTGAGTTTTGATCACTTATACACAAAATACACTGCAATTTGCTCCATTCACGACTACAAGAGCTATCCTATAATGTAGAGAGGTAAGTTTAAAAATCTGTGGCTAAAAGCACTTTTCTACCATGAATAAGCAGTGTAGTGGCATATTCCTCAGATCACTAACATGTTATGCATTTAAAAGACAGCAATTAGGTAGGAAGTATTACTACATTTCTCAGTTAATATTTTCATCTTCTCTCAGTTGAACCAATATTTTTTCATAAACAAAGACAATATTTTCTGGTAAAGAAATACATAACTCTTTGAACGACACCTGCAAAATAAAGAAAATTTAAAAATAAAGAAGTTGTCCCTAATCCTGCCAAAATTGAGAGTTCCCGGCAGTCCTTTTTTCTGTACACATGAATGTGTACAGATATAAATGTACTTTTGCACTTATTTATATATGTTGTGTGTGTGATATATATTTTCCTTTAGCATTACAGAGGGAATATTTTCCCATTTTTAGGAAAAGAATGTGCTCAATCATCGTAGTAAAACATGTAAGCATCGTTGGCGAACACTTCACATTTCAGTTCAGGTGGCATAACCTTCATGAGATACTTAAAAGGAGTAAAGTGGTTATGTGATCTTTTCATCACGAATATTGTTTATGATCATTGCTCTTACCTATGTCCATTTCCGTATATGGAGTAAACAATTTCTGCACAACTGGTTCTAAATCTTCTCTTGCTGTTTTAGAAGACATGCAAGTCAAATGAACCAAATCTGTGTTAAAAAAAAAAATGACAGTTTTTGAGTTTCTGTTTCTTGCGAATTTCACTGGGTGCTCATATTCACCAAGCTGGTGCTATGACAAACGGCTAAACAAGACACGGCTCCTGAGTTTATAATCTAGAGATGAGGGACATGTAAAAACCGTAACGGTACTCTGTGTTTGTTAACTAAACAGCTACAACATATGTTAACTAATAACCATGACAGAACACACTAAGGCCCAAGAAGAAGTAGCAGGTGCTGGTTCATTCTGTAAAACCAACAGTAGAAAAGCTTAGGAAAGCATTTACTCATAGAAAGAACTTATCCTCACAACATTCCCAAGGAAGGTTGATAAAGGATTGCTGAGTGAAATAACTATGTAAAAGGAACTGAAAGTACAGTATTTATTTACCTGGAGAACACTTCACGTTTGTCAGACAGAGAACCCACTGATATGTACTTTACTGATAAGTTAACAACAAATTGTCTATTCACTCTAAGGTTCTCTAAGACTCTTTTCTGGGGAACACTGTTGGCTTAGTTTGGATCATACATGTACTTGAATGTCCATAAAATGGCACAAGTTGAAAGAGTCTACAATATTTTCAGCAATTCCAAATCACTTCCTTTTGCATGTATAGAGTCATGAGGCTTGGACCTCAGAGAACGTTTGGGTTAGAGAATATCATGTACCAAAAATAGCCCTTCACAGAAGTGAATACTGTAGCCTAAAGCATTTAGAATTCCTACAGGCCTACACACAGAGGTGAAGGAAGGAGGAAAATTTCTCTGTCCTGAAACAAGGGACTAAGGGGATCCCTAGAGGGTAGAAATTCTTACAGTCCCAGAAAGGGCTTGAGACGATGGAATAATGGCAGAAAGAATATATTAGAGAACTGTGCAAACTGAGAAATTCCTTCCCCCAAACACCATTAGAAAAATACACCTACTTTTTTCTGAAAGTTTATTTCAGACTGCTAGACTTTCTTCTTTTTTAAACCCCAGGAAGATAGTTCCAAGTTTATCATGAACACTGATATCAAAATAGAAATCTTATTATTAAAATTCATTCCGCATTCAACTATTCTACATATATCTTAAGCATAAATTGAGGGACTCTTAATGACCGTGTGTACTAAAATCAAATTGTAGGATGGCACTAATTAATTCAAAAGGGGTAATAACTTTCACAACATTATTCCTAATTACATTAAATGTTTCAAAAGCTGTATCATTTTGGTGAGAGGAACTTGAAACTCTCCAGATGCTGAATATAGAACTACAAAGGCAGAAATACCCGATACAACACTCAAGAGAAACTGTACTGTCTCATTTCACAGTCTCATCAAATACCAATGTTCATGTCAAAGTCCTCAATTTTCCAGTTCTTTCCTATTCAATCAATGTGTACTAGGGGAAAAAGAAGATAAACAGAAATATAAATAAAAAAGTCTACTTTGAAAAATATTTTTTCTTTCCTTTTCATTGACTTTATTGGGGTGATACCGGTTAACAAAATTATACGGGTCTGTTAATGGCAAACTACCGATTCTGATTCTGTAGAATGGGATACAGACAAGAAATACACTGGAGCAAGGACATCCTTGATGTTTCCCATTCTATGGCGGCGTTCAGTTCAAGAAGTGCTAGCAAAAATTTCCGGTAGTGAAGTCAGATATCCATCAAGTACTTAGTGATTTCTATAGCAATTCTTAGGAAGAAAAATTAAAGGCATTCATAACCTGCATCGTAATATCGATGCCCTGATTTCACTTTGAGGCGACATTATTAGTTGATCCACAAATTTAAGATATTCAATATAAACAGCTACTTTCTTCTCCCCGCACATCCTACTTTTCCTGTTGCCCATGCCCTTCCCTGTATAGGTTACTCTGAATTTGTTGCTTCTCTTCAAATCAGAAAGATTATTGAGCACGTGATATTTTCATACATGTTTACTGTTGTTCTATTGCGGTGGTCCCAATTTTCCCCCACTGCCCGCCTCCGTCCAGCCCTCTCCCAGCTCCCAGTCAATCCACACCGTTGGCCATGTCCATGAACGTATTTGTGTTATTATTTTTTAAAGATGTTTATTTATTTTTAGAGAGAAGGGAAGGGAGGGAGAAAGAGAGGAACATCCACGTGTGGTTGCCTCTCGCGCGCCCCCCACTGGGGACCTGGCCCACTACCCAGGCATGTGCCCTGACTGGGAACCGAACTAGTGACCCTTTGGTTTGCAGGCTGGCTGGCGCTCAGTCCCCTGAGCCACACCAGCCAGGGTGATTATGTTATTTTTTTTAAAAACTCAGATTATTTTCAAAATTGGTTTATTAATCTTCACACTCCTTGTAAGTCCTCTGTACGGGAAACTTTTAGAGTTGATTTTTCTCCTCTTTGTCAGATCTAAGTGTCACTTAGAGTGCATGTTGAATAAATATTTGTGGCCAAATGTACTTTGGTTCCCTGTCATAGGCAGGCATTAAGTCTCAGGCTTAAACAGACATAGGCCTACAAATATATGCATGCGTGTACATGCCGGGAGAAAGTTTTACTACTTTCTCATATGAAATGTAGGAAATTATCTAATCCACCAGGATAGAGGTAAGAAAAGTATCAACGCATAATCCTCAAATTATTTAAATCTGCCTGAGAAATGCTCACAGACACTTTAAGATCTACCTATTACATTCTCAAAAGAATTTAAGACATTAGTTAAAATTGACTGTATGGCTAACTTGCATCTGTAAGACTGTCTTCCAAGCGTGTTAGAAGTATTATTTCATTTCACCTACGCAAATGCCAACTCTTGTCCTCATTTTACAGGTGAGAAAACAGAGAGCGGAGTTAAGCAGGTTCCCAAAGCCAGGCGATTAGGAGAAGAAAGCGCTCAGACCCGGAGCTGGAACAGAAGTCACTTGCAGCGGTGTCCACCCTGCAGCCTGCGGACCACATGTGGCCCAGGAGGGCTGTGCACGCGGCCCAACACAGCATCGTGCACTTCCGTAAAACATGATGAGACTGTTTTGTGCTTACGTGTTGCAGTCAAAGGTTGGACAGCTCTGCTCTAGAGTATCTGCTGTCAGTCACTAAATGATGTTGGGTAACTGTAACGTTTTCTGCACAAGGTGCAGCCTGTCACTTACGGCAGCGGCCGCCAAACTAGAACGTGGACAAAGATACAAAAGCACTTTTCACAAGGCACCATAACTCTGAGTAAGTCATTTCCTGGGTGCTCTGCCCAGCCCCCTTCCACTTTATTAAGCAATGCATTTCAATACATGTGTTTTTAACAATCCTGTAGGCAAAAGGATAATATATTTCTTATAGTTCGATTAATTTTATACAAATAATTGTATTGTTTAATCCAGAAACTTACTGTCAAGAATTTTTTTTTTAAAATTCTACTTCCATGTATTGTTTTCATGTCCTCACTGACGGACATTTTCCATTGCTTTTAGGGAGGGAAGGAGGAGGAGGGGGGAGGGGGGAGAGAGAGAGAGAAACATCAATGTGAGAGAAAACCACCGATTAGTCACTGGCTCATGCACACCCTGACCAGGGGTTGAACCTGCAACCTCAGTATGTGCCGTGACCTGGGTTCGCACCCACAGCCTGCGTATGTGGCCTGACAGGGAATCAAATCCATGACATTTCCGCCTGCGGGATGATGCTCCAAGTAATGGCCATACCGGCCAGGGCTCCATGTATTTTTTTAAATGAGTGGTAGTGGGTATCCAATATCTCCGGTGCTTAATTCAATGGAATACACTTAAAAGAGTTACGTTACTCTTTTTACTATTATATATCAATATTTTTAAGGTTAGAAACTACATTCTTGGCAATTATTTGAATCTTATGATGAAAAATTGTATACATCAACTTACATGTGTTTGAGGGGTACATCAGAAAAAGTTTGAAGGCCTAAGGAAATCACACAACCAAACTTCTAGAACGTGACGCACTTCTACTCAAATTTAACTCTGTATAAAAATGCTTTTTTGCATTATGTAAATGTAATTCTTCTCCACAGAACTGATTTGCTCAAGAAATGCTAGAAATAACCACAAATTAGATCAGATGGGGCAAGTGCTTTCCTAAAAGTATTACATTCATTAGTACCAATTAACGACTATTACTAAGATTTTGAAGATCAGATAGAAGTGGAACTGCGTCCCCGCTGGCATCATGGGAAATTGTAACTGACTCAAAGAAAATGTTTTAAACCCTGACTCTATCGTTTATAAACTACGTTCCTTTCAATTCATTGAGCCACTGCTTCAAGGCTTAATGGGCTAAAAGATAACAAAGTGTGTTCTGTTACAATTTCCCTGTCAGCAGCACCCTTAGATTTGTGCATAGAGCGTAAGGGTGATGGTGTGAAGAATCTCTGGTGAGTGGAGTGCCCGTCCCAGTCTGTCCCACTGAAACAAGAGCACCTGACACGCGGACGTAGACACCACCATCAACACCAAACCGGAAAGAAGAAAGTTCTCCACAACAGGGTTGGGAATGCTGCTCTCTCATAGCGCGTAAGCCGTGGCCTTCTGACAAGTGGCTTACTTTTAAACACAAGGAAAGTGGGGTGTCTACTTAGACTTTGTACAACAATGAGCACATGTAAAAGTGACAAAAATGACCAGTGTAATGGGTGATCTGCAATGACTGGCTCTGTCTGTACCTTCTTGCCAAGTCGGTCTCTCTTTCTGACCTCGGCTCATGATGAAACGGAAGTGGCGGAGCAAGTTTATGTACAAGATTGCTTTCTAGTTCTAAAGTTGTATCATTCTAACTCCTTGCTCACTGGCCATGCTGCTTTCAATGAAGACGAATTTGGAACCTCAGTAGGAAATCTTTCCCTCAAACTTCTGAGGTTGTCACCCTCAGCAGCCGAGCATTCCGCACAGTGCACATAAATTGTTCCAAGCGCATTCACAGACACTTTGCCTACGGGCGAGCCAGCAAACGCGTATTGTTACACAGCCTAACCAGGAATGCAGAATTGATGTATA